AGCAGCAAGTGCAAGAGCTTCAACTGCCGGCTGTTGGTGAAGAATGACGACGGGCTCGACGATTCCGTCGAAGCGAAAAACTCTAGGCCTTGTCTTTACCAAAAGATGCAGGTACAGTATTGTATGCGATACCATTATTTTTTGGTCTCCGTCTCTGTGTTTATTTCATTCAAATGAGAAAAAAAGGGAATGACGACTGATTTTTTGTTTTGTTTGTACGAGTGATGAATGCGTCAGCGGAGAGAAATTTCTTCAGCCCCATGAATTATTTTTTGTTTTGTTTTCGTACTCCTCCGGAAAAATTAGGTAATTTAAAGCATGCATAAACTGTTTTTTTCTTCCCGTATTTTGGCGGGTAAAAAATTAATACTGTACCTCCTCGAATATATGCAACCCCCTATTTTTTCTATGCTCAAAATTTAAATTAAATCAATTGACGAATATGGGCACGCTCTTGATTTCCTAGTGTTTTGACTTTTCAGAGAGCTAAAATTCCTTGTCTAAATTTATGTTTTCCCCATAATCTAAAAAAAATGAGTGTTTTAGGTCTTGTGCTTCTGAATTTGGAAAAAGGAGGTGCTTATATTTATGTGAATACGGTATTATGTGATGCATTTAAAGAATTGATTGTACTGTACCTGTGAGGAAGCTATTTGTTTACCTCCTGGTCTTGCATTTAAAATGTATTCATAGTTGTATTGGTATCAATTTTTGTGTGATTTATTAATTCTTTATTATGAGCAATTTCGGTTTTATTCCCCTTCCTTCACTGCAACACCATGTCGCATGAATTTTTCCTGCAAAATTGTTTCCATGGGGATTTTTTTTACGCTTGAATGTTTTTTTTCATTGTGACCTTGTTTTCTGTGCGGTCTACCTTGTTTTTTTTTTTTTAGTCATATACATTTTTTTTTCTGTTTTTTCCTCCAATTGTTCTTCGTTTGTGCCCCAAAAGCAAAAATCGTGCTGGTTTTTTTCCTCACTCGAAAGTTCTATTCTTATTTTTATGAGAAATTTATTTTTATGTAAGACTCGTAATTTTTAATTTTTGATTATTCATGGCATTGTATTCGTTTTAGTGTGAATTGATTTGATTGAAAAATCCGCAGATCACAGCCAACCTCTTGCCGTTGCCCGGGGAAAAGACGGACCTGGGCTCGACGGACAACAGCCCCGTGTTGGCGGACACTTCGGAGACGCAAAACTACCTGGTGTGCATTGCTCGTCGGATCCCGCCGGCCGAGAAGAACCAGGGCCCCATGGTGGAGCAGTTCACGACGAAGCTGGACCTGCGCTGGAAAATCGTCAATGTGGACACGTCCGGAGTGTCTTCGTCGTATTCCCAACACCTCAACAAGGAAATGGTTGGACGCGTGTTTCAAGAGCTGTGTCATCAGGGAGACACTCACAAGATGGCCGCGTTTGTGAAGGAGGTCATGACCCAGGGGGTCGCCACGTCTGTGATCTACAGGTCATTATCCCCCCATCCTCACTCGGATTTAACCCCCTTTCTCCGACCCCCCGGTCATGGTAGAAGTGAGCTTCTGACAGACTGACTGACTGACAGGCTTTGGAATATGTGAAGTTAGGAACAATATCTTTCAAAGATTTCTGGATTGAACTTGCTCGAAACCCTAAAAACTGCAATCCACTCTTTTTCAAGATGCATTTGAGCGGTATTGAGGACAAATTGTCCAACAATATAATTTAGTGTGGAGTGCTGAGTCAGATAGCAATAAAACAAGTTAATCAGTCTGGGACAGGACCGGGAATTCCGTTCAGGAATTCCTAGTTTAAAGGGACCAGATATACCTATTTACTCGAGTACCACGCGCACCTTTTTTCTCAAATTTCAGAAGAAAAAAAGGGGTGCGCGTCATAAGCGGGTACAAAATTTTCAAGAAGTTTTGGGAAGTTGTGTGTTAATTATACTTGATTATGATGGATAAATTTGTGACAAATGTACCAAGAAAACTTTTTTTTACTGAAAAATTTTAAAATTGATCAGATTCATGTTCAATTCACATCATAAGTCAAATTTTTTGTTTTTATTTTCAATATTTTGTGATTTTAGAGTCACTAAACATGGGGTGCGTGTCTTACTTGGGATACCATTTTAGCCAAATTTTGAACTGAAAAACCCCTGTTACTTGAGGGCGCAGGGGTACTTGAGTAAATACGGT